CGCGGGAGGGGGGGTTTCGCCCCGGCGGGGGGGGGGGGGGGGGCAGCAGCCTCGCGTGTCCCCATCCCTCCCAGTCCATGAGCAAGGGGGGTGTCCTCAGAGCAGGGTGCAGATGCCCCTGCGCTTGACCTCGAAGGCGGCCATCATCAGCCCCAGCTTCTGCTGGCTGTAGGGGGGGTACCGGGGGCTGTTGAGGGGCTCCAGGCCCATGCTGCGGTGCAGGCAGCCCCGCTTCTGGCTGAAGGTGTCAAAGGTGAACTTGCCATGGTACTTCCCCAGGCCACTGTTCCCTGCAACAACACGGCACAGGTTCAGGCTCCCGAACAGGAATCGGCTCCTGAAGGCTCCAACAGAAGTAGAATTTTGGGTCCTCCGTGACAAGAAGGACGTGGAGCAGCTGGGGGGTGGCCAGGGAAGGGCAAGGGGGCTGGGGAAGGGGCTGGAGCAGAAGGAGAAGGGGCTGGAGAACTTGTGAGGAGCAGCTGAGGGAGCTGGGGGTGTCCAGCCTGGAGCAAAGGAGGCTGAGGGGAGACCTGCTGGCTCTGCAGCTGCTGAGAGGAGGTTGGAGCCAGGGGGGTCGGGCTCTGCTCCCCAGGAACAAGGGATGGGACAAGAGGGAACGGCCTCAAGCTGCACCAGGGGAGGTTGAGGTTGGATATGAGGAGAAACTTCTTCACTGAAAGGGTCATTAAACACTGGCCCAGGCTACCCAGGGAGGTGGTGGAACCTGCAGCCCTGGAGGTACCTTCCTTACCCTGGCCAGCAAGGCCCAGGCACCATGAGGGGGTCACACCTGGATCTGGACCTACCGATCCCCCCGAAGGGCAGCGAGGTCAACGTGAAGTGCATCAGGGTGTCGTTGCCACAGAAGCCACCACTGCTGGTCCTCTCCAGCACCTGGTTCACCACCTGGGAAGGAAGCAGAGGTGAGGGAGGTGGGTCTCATCACTGCTCCTGCACCTCCAGCTGCAGTCCCGGGGCTGCCTGCTCTCCAGAACATTCCTGGAGTGTGAACACGGCCAAAAACTACCTGCCAAGGAGCAGGAGGCAAGCGTAGGGTTCCTCCAGAGAAGCTGGACATGGGTCTTCCCCAAAACCCTTCCAGAACATGCCAGGGGGTGTGGGTGAGGTGGACAGTAGCCTCACGACCCCACCTTCCCAGCCATTCTGGTCCCTGCTCCACACACCTTGCTGTCACTGGAGAAGGCATAGACGGTCAAGGGCCGTGGCCGAGCGTTGATAAAGTCAATGGCTTCGTCCATGTTGGCCACCACAACGATGGGCAGGATGGGACCAAGGATCTCCTCCTGCATGGCAGGATCAGAGGGGAGCACGTCTGCCAGCACTGTGGGAGCTGTGGAGAAGGGTCATGGCAATGGGTCACTTGGGCCACAAGCTCTAAGGGGCCCCACAAGCCCTGGGTGGTCCTACAAGCCTCTTGGTGGTTCCACAAACTCCAAGTGGTCCCACAAGCTTCTCGGTAGTCCCACAAACCCCAGGTGGTTCCACAAACTCCAAGTGGTCCCACAAGCCTCTTGGTGCTCCTGCAAGCCCCGGGTGGTCCCATGGGCTTCTTGGTGGTCCCACAAACCCCAGGTGGTTCCATAAACATCAAGTGGCTCCACAAGTCCCGCAAGCCCTGGGAGGTCCCACAACCTCCAAGTGGTCCCACAAACTCCAAGCGGCCCCACAATCCCCAGGTGGTCCAACACACCTCAGGTGGTTCCACAAATTCCTAGTGCTCCCATGAGCCCCAGGTGGTCCCCCCAAGCCCCTTGGTGGGCGCCCCAAGGCCCGTGCCCTCACCGATGTACCGCTCCGCCTCGTCCGTCTGCCCCCCGATGGCCACGCGCCCGCTGCCCAGCAGCGCCCGCACCCGCTGGAACTCCTTGTCCCCCACCAGGCGCCCAAAGTCGGGGGATTCCTTGGGGTTGGGGCCAAAGAACTCGACGATGGCCTCGCGCAGGGCGGGCATCAGCTTCTCCTGCATCTCCAGGGTGCAGAGGACGTAGTCGGGCGCGATGCAGGTCTGCCCCGCGTTGAAGAAGCGTCCCCAGGCCACCCGCCGGGCCACGTTCTGCACCTGGCAGCTGTCGGACACGTAGCAGGGGTTCTTGCCCCCCAGCTCCAGGGTCACCGGGGTCAGGTGCTTGGCGGCGGCCGTCATGATGATCCTGCCCACCCCGGGGCTGCCTGAGGAGCCGGGGAAGATCTGTCACCACCAGGAGCCCCCCAGGCTGCAGCCCAGCCCCTGCCCCAGCCTCGCCAGCAGCCGGGGAAGGCGTCCGGGCCACTCCTGTCCTGCCTCTTGCTCTGCAGCACGGGCTGGAGGCCTCACCTCCAGCACCTTCCCCAGGCCCCACCACTTCCTAGCTCAGCCATTACAAAACCTCCTTGTGGCCACCAGGCGTCCAGACATCCTGGTGGCAGATCCCAACACCAGATCCTCGACACTGGGAGCCCTGTCCTTCACGCCGATGGGCAGGGTGAGCCCCGGTGGGAACCCCCCATTCCCCTGGGGACAAGGACCCAGGAAGGGCTCAGCCCTCAGCACACACCAGTGAAGAAGATGTAGTCAAACTTGTTCTCCAGCAGCCTGGTGGTCTCCTGCACGCCGCCGGTCACCACGGCAAAGCAGTCCTGCAAGGAAGAAGGAAGGGTTCCCTGGTGTCACAACCTGCCCAGACCACTCTGTCCCCATTGCCTTCAGCAGCATCCCCGGTTCCTGGGTGTGTGGACACCAGCTGAGCGTGGGGGAAGGAGCTACAGAAGCACCTGAGTCAGGGATGGTGTGTGGGAACCACCACAGCCCTGGGGCAGGGACCAGGACAGGGTGAGCTTCTTACATTGTCCAGGTAGCAGGACAGCGTTTCGGCCACGAGTCTCTCTGAGTTCTTGCTGACCTCTGAGGGCTTGATGACAACACAGTTACCTGGGGGGAGATGGACAGGTCACGAGAGTAGTTGGCATGGTGACAGCCAGCTCTCCTGGCACCCTAGTTGAAGGATGAAGCCCCTTCCCTGGTGCTGGGCACTGCCTGGACCCTCCAGCCAGGGAAGGTCCTGGCTCACCAGCAGCGATGGCCCCGATGAGGGGCACCAGGAGGAGGTGGATGGGGTATTTCCAGGGAGCAATGATGAGCACAACCCCGTAGGGGTCCTTGCGGATGAAGGCCGAGTCCAGCTTGGTCACCTGAGGAGAAAATCCACCATCTTGGTGCTGTTCCCATTATCTCACAGCCCTGGGGCAGGGACCAGGACAGGGTGAGCTTCTTACATTGTCCAGGTAGCAGGACAGCGTTTCGGCCACGAGTCTCTCTGAGTTCTTGCTGACCTCTGAGGGCTTGATGACAACACAGTTACCTGGGGGGAGATGGACAGGTCACGAGAGTAGTTGGCATGGTGACAGCCAGCTCTCCTGGCACCCTAGTTGAAGGATGAAGCCCCTTCCCTGGTGCTGGGCACTGCCTGGACCCTCCAGCCAGGGAAGGTCCTGGCTCACCAGCAGCGATGGCCCCGATGAGGGGCACCAGGAGGAGGTGGATGGGGTATTTCCAGGGAGCAATGATGAGCACAACCCCGTAGGGGTCCTTGCGGATGAAGGCCGAGTCCAGCTTGGTCACCTGAGGAGAAAATCCACCATCTTCCTGCCCTCCCCAACATCTCCTGCCCTCCCCAACATCTCCTGCCCTCCCCGCTTAGCTCTGCCCCTCACCACCCATCCTTCCTCTCCCCCCCTCCTCCCTCCCCAGGTGAGCCCAGAGCTTCTGCCTGACCAGGTTCTTGTCCACAGACTCGTCCTTCATCCAGTAGGACAGGTTGTTCAGGGTGTTGTTGAGCTCGTTCTTGCAGAGGAGGATCTCAGTGAAGAAAGCCTCAAAGGAGGGCTGGGGACAGACAGCACGTGAGCATCATCACCCCAACACCAACCCCAGCTGCTCTCCAGTAGACACCTCTCCCCTCTTCTGCCCATGAAGAGCAGAAGGCATGAAGTAGAAGCTACTAAGTTGCTACCAACCCCCAGATCACAGTCCCTGAAATTCTATGAAAACAGGTATTTCTACAGGTTAAACTCCCATGTTGAACATCTTCACAAGCCTCTTGAGCTCAGCACCTGTGACCTGCCTACCAGGGCCCTGAGCCCAGGGGGCAATGTCACCAGAGCTCCAGGAGCTCCAGAAAAGCTGGTCCCAGTGTCCGAGGCAGCTCCGTGTCACTGACCCGGGATAGGACAGTGCTCCTGTGTTTGTGTCCCCACCATGGCAGGTGGAAACAAAGCCCCAAGGTCCCTCCCATGGCCTGCGCTCAAAGGCTGAACAAAGTGAGGTCCTGGGTTCAAGGAGAAAACAAGGAGAAGAGCAGCCACTTCATGAAACACCTTGTGATGGAGCTTAGCTGGACACCACTGGAGTCCTGGTCCCAGGGTGGAACCTGCTGCAGCTCCAGGGGCTCCAAGACTGGGAAAAGCAGGTGGGGTGGGACCCAGTGGGGAAATTCACCAAACCCAGAGGGTTTCTCCAAGATAAATCATCCCAATTAAATGGATGGTGACACAGAAGTGGTGGTGGGACACCAGAGCTGGGACCACAGGGGCCACACCAAGGCTGGTGGTGGATCCTCTCCAGTGCCCCAACCATGGCCATGGAGCACAGCTCAGGCTGTGTAGAAGGTAAATCAGTAGGCTCAGTGAAGCCCCTCCAGCACCCTGGAGAGCAGGAGAAGTGAAGCTCCTGTGCTGTGGGCACAGTGACACCCTCCACCACGAGATCTTTGGACTCCTCCAATCCTGAAGCAGCCCTGGATGGAGCCTCCCTCATTGTCTGCAGCCAAACACCACTTTGGGGTTGGAAGGTCTGGTTGTGGACAGGCAGCAACCTCTGGTGCTCCACTACCAAGCCCCACTCAAGAGACCTTCAGGTCACCAAGGTCACTGAAGAAGCACCTGGACATCCTGCTCCTAGACCTGGCACAAGGGATGTCCAGTGAAGCAACAGAGTCCAAGCTGCCAGTTGCATCACGAGGAAGATGAGGAAGCTGCTGGTGAAGATGGACCATTAAGGGTTTTGATGGGCCACGGAGATTTTATGATGGGCCATTAAGTCTGAGGTCATTCATATTCCTTCAATCATCAGTGGTGAGAAACCAGCAGCTCTGGAGAATGGGCACCCACCTCAGATACGTAAGCCCAGATGAATGGTCCATCTGGCTATGAAGGCTCAGCTGCATAACAAGCTCATTACTAGACAACCAGCTCTAATTACCTGAAATTAGCAGAGATGAAGGATGCACTCTAAGCACTGATGCCTATCAACCCTCAGCTGAAGAAGGCCCTCAACCTCAAACAAACAAGGCAATTATGAGCCTGGGCACATGTCCAGATGTTGAAACCTGGGTCTGAGGGCACAGCCACAGACCTGATCCACCCACAGACATGAGTCCTGTGGGTCTGGTTGTCCACTGCCAGATAAGACCAGTTATGCTGCTCCAAAAGTCTTTCCTAACATCCCATGACCAAAGCATGTGGTCATCTTTTGGGCTGCAACAACACCCATGGGGAAGGGAAATGGAGAAGAGGGTCCTAGAGCAACCAGGTGGAGAAGAGATAAGGTGAAACTGTTAAGACACAGCCACGGTGGGGATGATCCTGCTTCCTCAGCAGCCCACCCAGGAGCTCCTTGGTATACTATGATATCCAAACCCACCTCCAGGTCCTCACCTGTGCCAGGGAAACCAGTCCCCACCAGGCTGGTAAGCTGGCCCAGCCCTAAGCAGCCCCGGAAAGAATGTGCAAGGCTGGCACACTGCACACCCAGTAATCCTGGGTGGGACCAGGGCTGGTGAGGAGCACCCCAGGCCACGGTCCTCAGTGGGGTCCCTACATGTGCTGTGGTTGACCCCAGTTCTGGAAAGCTCTGCAACACCCATGGGTGCTCCACACCATCCCTGAAGCACATCAAGGGGGATGCAGGACCCCCGAGGAGGTGACCCCTGTGCCCACGGCCCCACACCTGTACCCAGGAGGACACAAGACCCAGAAGACGTGACCCTGGTGGCCAGCACCTGCCCCCCTCTCACCTTGCCCATATCCAAAGCAGTGGCCTCCAGGATATCCTGCTTCTTCTCTTCCAAGAAGCGTCCCAGGGCCTCCAGCTGGGACACCCTGTACTCCAGAGGCCGTGTCCTCCCCGACTGCCAGGTTGCCCGCAGGTGCCTCACCAGCCCCGCGTAGGGGTTCGCGCTGCTGGGACGGGGACGTCAGGGGGGACCTGGCCCTGTCCCAGCCTCTCACATTCCCAGGGAGGAGGGACAGGAGCCCCACGTCACACCAACCCCACATCACCCTGGCCCCATGTCCCCCCAGCCCCACGTCACCCCAGCCCAACACCAAACTGGAGCCCCCCACCTCACACCCCCAACACAGCACCATTCCCAGCAAGCCCCTTGTCCCCTCCCTTGGGCCACATCCCACACATCCCAGTGTGGTGGCCCACGGACCCCAAACTTCTCCTCCCAGCAGCTTCTCCTCCCTTCTCCCCTTCCTCAGCACCAACCCCAGGACACCCCCCCAGCCCCCCCTCTCACCACACAGCACTGCTGCTCTCCTGCCCCATCCCACTGCCTCCAGCTTTCCCGGGATCATTCCCAATGGAGCTGAACTTCCCACAGCTGAGGGGCTGCTGCTCAGGGGGCCCGAGGGATTGCTGCATCTTGAAGGAGCTGGTGGACCTCACAGAGAGAGCTGGTGACCCTGGGGATGGACACAGGGAAGGTTATGTTGGAGCTGGAAGCTCTGGAGATGCTGGATTGATCCCAAGAGGAGTCACATGGGAGGCAGACACCTCTATCCCAAGAGCCAGCTGGGATTGCTGGTGGCACCTTGGGGCTGCCCCAGTAGGAAGGTGACTCAGCCCCAGCGTGGCTGCCAGAGCCTCCAGTGTATCCGGTGGGAGATGTTTTGGATTCCCCAGCTCCTGAATTCCCAATGCAGGACAACATTCCAGGCAACTCCACTGGGATCTTCAGGGACCTTGGGATTGGACGTCATCCCGGGATGCTGCCCCACCCCGGGGTTCCTGGAGATCCTCAAGGATCATCCCAGGATCCTGCCCCACACCAGGATCTGTCCCTGCCTTTTTCCCCCTCCCCATACCCACCTTTCCTCCAGGAACACTGCCCCCCCCCAGCATGGTGCCCAGTGCCCCAAGGTCTCCATCCATGTCCATGTGGGGCTGGAGGAGCCCATCTGTGGGGTTGGAGAAGTGGGGCTGGTCCCCAGGACCCCAAGGTTCCACCTACCTGGACGGCTGAGTGGTGCTGGAGTGGAGCTGGCACTGCTGAGGCTCAGGCTGTCCCTCCTAAATGGTGTGGCCGGGCAGGATTGGGCCCCGCCCCCATGGGGCTGGCAGTAGGGACAACACCTGGCACGGGATGGAATGGGATGGGACCTCCCCTGTGGATGGTGGCACAGGGCAAAGCCCATGGCCACCAAACCACCACTGTGAGCCCTGACCCACAGGGATCCCATAGACACCCCTCACCCTGCTCCCCAAGGACCCTCACCCTGCTCCCTAGGGACCCCCTGACCCACAGGGACCCTCACCCTGCTCCCTAGGGACCCCCTGACCCACAGGGACCCTCACCCTGCTCCCTAGGGACCCCCTGACCCACAGGGACCCTCACCCTGCTCCCTAGGGACCCCCTGACCCACAGGGACCCTCACCCTGCTCCCTAGGGACCCCCTGACCCACAGGGACCCCTCACCCTGCTCCCCAAGGACCCTCACCCTGCTCCCTAGGGACACCCTGACCCATAGACACCCCTCACCCTGCTCCCCAAGGACACCCTGACCCACAGGGACCCCTCACCCTGTTCCTAAGACCCACCCAGACCCACCCTGACTCACGAA